CTGTGTACATTTTGCTGCCATTGTTGCTGAGCTTAACACGTCTGCATTCTTGATTTTATAATAACAATTGTAAAAGACTGTTTTACATCAACGAGCCAAATAGCGGGATCACCACAACCTTTTTCCCATGGAAAAGTGGTGTAGCCTTTACCAAATAATAGGAAAAAATTACAATAAAAGAAAAGAGACAAAAATAATACAAACATATTCTAAAGACCCTCGCATTGAACTTTATGCCGCTTAGATTTCGTGAGGAGACCCTGCAGGCTATGTAAACAAGAGTTAAAATAAGCAAATTGGAATAGGCCTAGCGCTTACATTAGCTTGTTTATCTAAAAAAAAAGCCAATATAGCCTACGCGAGAATGGTTAATTAAAATAACTTTACATGATAATCACATTGGCTTTTTCTGGCTCGCTGTCGGTGAAGAAAACAGGAAAAAGACCGCCGTCAGGTGTCTGTCCGAGAAGGGTCCAGCCCGCAGACAAACCAGATAAACGTGACAGAAGTTGACGGAAGTTGAACCTCGGTTCGTCCCACGTCACCGCGCACAAAACGTGATGTATCTGAGAATGTTCTCATTAAGTTAGTCACAAAACGTTCTCATATGGTCAACAGAGAACCATATGGGAACGTCCTTATTATGTCCTCTTTGTAATGTTGCTATGTGACCATAAAATAACCAATATGGAACGTTCCCCTAAAGTCACATAAAGAATGTCATTGTATGACCAACTTAGACCCATATGAGAACGTTTTGATCATCCTCTTTGTACCGTTGTTGTGTGACCATAAGATTACCATTACGGAACGTCCCCCTAAAGTCATATAAGGAACGTTATAATATGACCAACTTAGAACCATATGCGAACACTCTGATTATGTCCTCTTTGTAACGTTGTTGTGTGACCATAAAATAACCAATATGGAATGTCGCCCTAAAGTCCTATAAGGGAGGTTATTTTTATGACCAACTTAGACCCATATTAGAATGTTCTCATTAAAGGAGAACTCCGGCGCAAAATGAACCTTTGGTCTAATAAAACATTGGTACCTAGTCAACCGTTCTCTGAGATTTGTTTTCATGATAATCGAATGTAAAGAGTTTTATCTCTAAAAACTGTTTAGTGTATAACGCTAGTAATGGGGGCATTTAATAAGTAAAAAGAAATCGCTAGTTAATACCACTAACAAGGCTCAAAATAGCCCCACACTAACACAGTAACATAATGAGGGTCCCTACATGCAAAACGAAGCATTGAAAACTTTGTAAGTGTACAGACCGTTTAATAAGAAGATATTTTATAAAGACAGTCCACTTCGTGTATACAGACAGGATCCATCTTTGGAAAACAGTCTCGACTAATCAAACCACGAACGACATTCATACAGTTCAGAAGTTCACTGAACTTCATACAGTTCAGCTCACTTAGTACGTCGTTCGTGGTTTGACTAGTCGAGACTGTTTTCCAAAGATGGCTCCTGTCTGTATTATAATTATATTTAATTATATTAAAAAATTATATTAAAAAAGGAAAATAATTCAATTAAAACTTTTCTTACTAACAGGTTGGACAAATGTGGAATGACAGAGAATAGTTGTGCTGTTTTGACTTCAGCTTTCAGCTCAAAGTCCTCCAATCTGACAGACCTGGATCTGAGTATTAATGATCTAGGAGACTCAGGTGTGAAGTAGCTCTGTGTCGGACTGGAGAATCCTCCCTGTAAACTAGAGAAGCTGAGGTAAATGTCTGGAAAACTAATGCATTACTTTGGAAAACTTGTGAACTTGGATTCAAAAACTATTCACATCTGATTAAGCATCTCTTAAACTAAAAAGTAATGAACCACTGACCTGTGCTTACAAATCCACTCTTTCTTCAGGTTTTCCAACTGTAATGTTACACATGAAGGTGTGACGGCACTGGCCGAAGCTCTGGAATCAAATCCATCCCACCTGAAAGAGACCGATCTGCTTGAGAATGATCTGGAAGAGTCAGACTTTAATGTGATCTCCATGATACTGGACAAGTCATCATTAAAACAGCACTAACACAATAAAATCTTAGCAAAGTGTAAGCTTTGATCGTTTTGATAAACTGTATTCTGAATTATACACATGTATTATATATATATATACACTCACCGGCCACTTTATTTGGTACACCTGTCCAACTGCTCGTTAACACTTAATTTCTAAGCAGCCAATCACATGGCGGCAACTCAGTGCATTTAGGCATGTAGACATGGTCAAGACAATCTCCTGCAGTTCAAACCGAGCATCAGTATGGGGAAGAAAGGTGATTTGAGTGACTTTGAACGTGGCATGATTGTTGGTGCCAAAAGGGCTGGTCTGAGTATTTCAGAAACTGCTAATCTACTGGGATTTTCACGCACAACCATCTCTAGGGTTTACAGAGAATGGTCCGAAAAAGAAAAAACATCCAGTGAGCGGCAGTTCTGTGGGCGGAAATGCCTTGTTGATGCCAGAGGTCAGAGGAGAATGGCCAGACTGGTTCGAGCTGATAGAAGGGCAACAGTGACTGAAATAACCACTCGTTACAACCGAGGTATGCAGCAAAGCATTTGTGAAGCCACAACACGCACAACCTTGAGGCGGATGGGCTACAACAGCAAAAGACTCCACCGGGTACCACTCATCTCCACTACAAATAGGAAAAAGAGGCTACAATTTGCAAGAGCTCACCAAAATTGAACAGTTGAAGACTGGAAAAATGTTGCCTGGTCTGATGAGTCTCGATTTCTGTTGAGACATTCAGATGTTAGAGTCAGAATTTGGCGTAAACAGAATGAGAACATGGAACCATCATGCCTTGTTACCACTGTGCAGGCTGGTGGTGGTGGTGTAATGGTGTGGGGGATGTTTTCCTGGCACACTTTAGGCCCCTTAGTGCCAATTGGGCATCGTTTAAATGCCACGGCCTACCTGAGCATTGTTTCTGACCATGTCCATCCCTTTATGGCCACCATGTACCCATCCTCTGATGGCTACTTCCACCATGTCACAAAGCTCTAATCATTTCAAATTGGTTTCTTGAACATGACAATGAGTTCACTGTACTAAAATGGCCTCCACAGTCACCAGATCTCAACCCAATAGAGCATCTTTGGGATGTGGTGGAACGGGAGATTCGCATCATGGATGTGCAGCCAACAAATCTGCGGCAACTGTGTGATGCCATCATGTCAATATGGACCAAACTCCCTGAGGAATGCTTCCAGCACCTTGTTGAATCTATGCCACGAAGAATTGAGGCAGTTCTGAAGGCAAAAGGGGGTCCAACCCGTTACTAGCATGGGGTACCTAATAAAGTGGCCGGTGAGTGTATATATATATATATATATATATATATATATATGCAATTTGTTTAATAAAAATCAAGTATACCATATACAAACTATTTGTTAAATGTTATGATCTACACACAAAAGAACATCATTTATGGTCATATAAGTACCAAAGGAGTAGGAGAAACTGTGACAATGAAAATAACTCTATCGGAAAATAACCATTTACCTGGTTTATAGGCTAAATTGATTTTACGTCATAGCTACCACTTGCAATTGTCAGGCCAGTGGGAGCCAGGGCTAACAACGTGGCGGGCAGGGACAATATCCTTGGACCTTAAAGGGATAGATCACCCAAAAATATAATATTTTGTCATTAATTACTCACCCTTCAACACCTTCGTTCATCTTCGAAACACAAATTAAGATATTTTTGTATGAAATCCGAGAGCTTTCTTTCCCCACAGTAAAACACAGTAACAATAAAGAGGCTTTCAAATTAAGGCGAGACACGGCAGGCAAAAACATCGTTTTTTTTTCACTGGTCAATTTTGAGATTTCGGGATATTTGTCTTCAAAAACATGTCTTCTTTCAGACTTGTGGTGAAAAAAAGTCTGAAATACACATTTAGGTCTTTATTTTACTACACTTTGTCTGTTTGCGTCTGTAGATTTCTCATAAATTCATCAAAAGTTGGCGTTGTAAATCATCCGTTGCTCCGCTATCGCTGTCTGCACCCTGTCATCACACACACCGTTAGAAAGCTCTCTCTCTCCTGTACAATGTTGTCGGATCCAAATATGGTCATTTCCTTTTTATCAGCAACCAATCGTGAAAGTAAAAGGGCGCAAATGCGCAATCTCATTGGCTGATGCTAAATCTTTAAAGCCCGTTTTCTCAAAATGACCTTTCTCTCATTCTCAAAGTCCGAAATCTCCACTTCGGTAGCACCTATATACACCAAACTTTCCAGTCTTGTACCTAGTTATATTATGAAGACATTTACAGAGGAATTTGTAAATATATTATTCCTAGCCTGATTTATATAACATTTTATTCCAAAAAACATGGCAAAAATCATTTTTTTAAGGCTATTGACAGTATATTCTGATTTACAGGATAACAAAAGTAGATATCCATAAATCCCTCTGTAATTTTTTTCCCATCTAATATGTGAACACAATGAAAACATTTTTTTGAACCTGGCTTTATCCAATACTCAGATTTCATTTTTTGAAATATATGCAAATTTGTGCATATTTAATTAGACAATGCCTAATTTGCATATTTAAACATTAAATTACAGAAAACTTGTAATACATTTTTTTCTCATCTTAATGTAGGTAATCAACTGGGAAAGTTTCATGGTGATATCTGCTAGTTAAAAAAATTACCCTAATCACCTGTAGTGTCTCGCCTTAAGAGAAAGCTGATAAAAAAAAATTAAATAAAAAAAAACATTTTAAAAATAAATCAAATAGGCCTAAAACATTGGTAGATGAACAAAACAGTAATCTTAATACTGTAGTCTCCACAAGTAGCAGCAACATTATTGCTTTAATACTTTCTAGCAGTGGTTCTCCACCAAACTTGGTAATGTGGTTCATACAGTATCAGCTCCATCTGTGATGAATCATAAACCTGTCAGTTTCATATAAGATTGAGCTCCTCCTTCTCAGAGCAGGTAAAACAGAACACACCATCATTCTCCTGTTTCAGAAGACAGCGAGGGGAATCCAGAGCACACATGGTAAGTACAACTGCACAGACTGAGAGAAGAATGTTTGATAGTTTACATTAGGCAGGATAAATAATTTTGAGTTAAACAGTAAAGACTCAAATACATTTGACACAGTCTAATCTGAAGCTTTTCAGTTATATTATTTGCAGAATGCATTAAGTTTAAGTGTTATAAACAGCACAAAATAAACACTTTGCTTCCACTACAACTTATATAATTTTATGATCACAAAATGTATGTATTTATGTTCAGTAAGACACTCTCAAACAGTCAAAGCCTTCCACAACCTGAAGGTATATGAACTATTAACTAAACCAGGAAATAACTCAAAAACCAGTCAAACCAGCTTGATGTATTTGTGTCCTTCATTGTTTTTCTTCCTCATTCCCAGTCATTTGATTTCGTAAAAAATATATTTTTTTTTGTTTAGTTTTTTATCTTTATTTGATTGTGATGGACACAGAATTCAGTTCAGCAGTTGGGAAAACACAAACACCATAATGAATTCTGAAGAAGACACTGATTATCACAACACTTGTGATGGAGAGAAAAGGTGAGAGAAATATTTTTTAATCATTTGTACATGAATCATATTTATATCGATATAAATCAAATATAAAAATATATAGCCTACTATATAATAATATTTTAAAGAAGCATATTCTTTATATTTATATTATTAAGTGACAGATCAAAAGCAAATTCACTTCAAACCAAAAGTTTACAATTTGAGATCAAATTATACTGCTTATAACCCGGTACAGCTAATTACATTTTATTACCAAAGGCATTGACAATCTTAATATAATTTGAGTGAAAGTGATGCTGAATTGCTCTAAACTATAAAGATGGATGTATTTTTCAGTTCTGAAGAAAAATCACATTCACCTGTCAGTGTTTTGTCCTTGAAGAGTGACAAATCAATGAAAATACCAATTCAGTTAAAAGCTGAAGATCCTCAGTTTAAACAAAGGTAAATCCAATTACATTTATTTTTGCATGTGGCTTCATAGCTGTGTTGCTTTTGATCCTGTAGCAAGATGTAAATAATGTTTTCATTGCAATTTGCCAATAACCTTTCATTAATAGAGATTAATGAAACCAACATTTTAATTTACTTGAAAATAATAAATTCAACTTTTGAGAGATGCTTTTTTAAGATTAATGAAACTTTTAGATTAACGAAACCAAATGATTTGTTAACTTTCGAGAAAAGGTTGATGTTTTTCAGGTCTCTGGAGAGATCAGTATCACATGTCCCCAGTGTTTTGTCCATGAAAAGTGACAAATCAATGAAAATACCAATTCAGTTTAAAAAAGGAGATTCTCAGTTCGATCAGAGGTAAATAGAACTATTTTTATGTGACGTAGCTTTAATGGTTTTGGCATCAAAATAATTTGATGGTTTTGTCAATATACATTTTTGCTTTCAGATGATACAGTATTGTCCTGAACAAATCTTTATGACATCGACCTTTATTTGGAATCACATAATCATTGTTGTTTAATGGTGAGATTGATTTTTTATTATTATTTTTTTTCAGTTCTGAGGAAAGATCACATTCATCTGATCCCAGTGTTTGGTCCCTGAAAACCGACAAACCAATGAAAATACCAAATCATTTAAAAAATGGATATTCTCTGTATGACCAAAGGTAAATCTATTCATCTTTTATTTGCATGTGTTATAGCCATGATAATTGTAGCTCTAAAGATATAAAAAGCATGTTGTTTGTGAATGTTTAAAAAGTATTTCCTCAATCCACACTAAATTTGATTTATTATATTTATTATCTGATCCCAGTACAAAACAAATTAAAGATGAATCAAATATACCACAACAGTGGTATCGTTTCATTCGAAACACCTTTTTAGTGTTCATTCAGTGTTCACACTAGAAAGGTGCACTTCTATGCTTCCCAGGTAAGGGAGGGTGAACGGGGGTCTGATGACTCACAATATTAATTGCAGAGAACAAGGATTAGTACAGATTATTTGCTGTTAACTCTCACCAGATGCCGGGTTTCAGCAATAAACGGCAGAGCATCTCCGACTTCCTCATTGTTCAGTTGCCATCATGCTGATCTCTCACATGATCTGTTTTTGAAAAGTGAGAAATAACATAGTAAAACAAGATTCAAGTCATTATTCAATGAATTATGTATCTTGCTTATTAGAATCACTACTCTTCTATTTTTAGCAATTTGTACAGAAGTCACAGTCTTCATTAGTAGAAACATCTAATTAAATTGGCCACAAAAATTACATTACAGAGATTACAAAAAAGGAAAATACATATGATATCATAGTGTTTAAGATATTTATCTGTTATTTATAAATTTATGTTGTTTGAATATCATGAAAAAAGTGTCAAGTTTACACTAAATGGCCTACATAGGCTACAGGTTTTTATTATTTTCGAAAAAATTATATTTTTTACAGACATAATGGTTACAGACATAACCAGCAAAAACGTGATCCAGAGATCTACCAAAAATTAAAATCTTGCATGAAAAAAAAGCATCTCTACATTTTAGAAGGATTTGCAAAGCAGGGAAACCCAACACTCCTGAATGAGATCTACACAGAGCTTTACATCACAGAGGGTGGAAATGGAGAGATCAGTAATGAACATGAAATTAAAAGGATAGAGAAATCATTGAAGGCTGCTGAAGGAGCAACAATACCAATCAAATGCAATGACATCTTTAGACCTTTACCTGGACAAGACAAACCCATCAGAACTGTGCTGACAAAGGGAGTCGCTGGCATTGGAAAAACAGTCTCTGTGCAGAAGTTCATCCTGGACTGGGCTGAAGAGAAAGAGAATCAGGACGTCCAGCTCGTATTTCCACTGCCTTTCAGAGAGATCAATCTGATGAAGGACAAAAAGTTCAGTTTAGTTGGTCTTCTTCAAACCTTCTTTATGGGAGAGACAAGTTTACATCTGATTCAAAACTCCTCTGTAGTTTTCATCTTTGATGGTCTGGATGAGTGTCGTCTTCCCTTAAACTTTCACAGCAATGAGACTCTACTGGATGTGACCAAAGAGACATCACTGGACGCGCTGCTGACGAACCTCATTGTGGGGAATCTGCTTCCCTCTGCTCTCATCTGGATCACCTCCAGACCAGCAGCAGCCGATCTCGTCCCCTCTGAGTGTGTCCATCGAGTGACAGAGGTACGAGGCTTCAATGATCCACAGAAGGAGGAATACTTCAGGAAGAGAATCAGTGATCAGAGTCTGGCCAATACAATCATCACACACCTGAAGTCCTCAAGGAGCCTCTACATCATGTGCCACATCCCAGTGTTCTGCTGGATCTCAGCCACTGTTCTGGAGAAGATGCTGAGCGAAGCAGAGAGAGGAGAGATTCCCAAGACTCTCACTCAGATGTATACACACTTCCTGATGGCACAGATTAGCATCAAAGACACAAAGTACAATGAGAAGAATGACACAGACAGAGAGATGATTTTCAAATTAGGGAAACTGGCTTTTCAGCAGCTTGTGAAAGGCAATGTGATCTTCTATGAGGAAGACCTGAGAGAGTGTGGCGTTGATGTGACAGAAGCATCAGTGTACTCAGGATTGTGCACTCAGATCTTCAGAGAGGAGTTTGGCTGGTATCAGGGGAAAGTCTTCTGCTTTGTTCATCTGAGCGTTCAGGAACATCTAGCGGCTCTATATGTGCACCTCTCCTTCCACAACAGCAGCAAAAATGTCCTTGCAGAAGGCAACACAAATGAATCAGAAATGAATGTGACAGTGCCAATCATACTCAAATGTGCAGTTGATAAAACTTTAGAAAGTAAGACTGGACATCTCGATCTCTTTCTTCGCTTTCTCATGGGACTTTCGATTGAGTCAAACCAGGCCCTCCTGGAACGTTTTTTTGCGAAAAGAACAATTATCCCCCAGGACTCCTCGGAAACTACTGAGTACCTCAAGGATAAACTAAAAATCTGTTGTCCAGAAACAAGTATTCTTCTGTTCCACTGTCTAAATGAACTTAATGATCATTCTCTAAATGATGAAATCCAAAAATACATAACCTTAGGAAAAGTTGAAGACATCCAGTCCCAAGAACTTTGGTTTGCTCTAATGTTCATTTTAATGACATCAGATGAGAAGTTTGATGAGTTTGAACTATATAAATATGGTAGATCAGATACAATCTTTGGCTGGCTTCAGCCAGTGATCAAACTGTCTACAAAGGCCCGGTGAGTACTTTTCATAATTTATTATATTTGTGAGTGCAACGAATTTGTTAAAGGAACACTCCGACTTTTTGGGACTTTAGCCTATTCACCTTATCCCCCAGAGTTAGATAAGTTCATACATACCTTTTTCATCTCCGTGCGTGCTATAAGTCTGTTTGACGCACCCACCGCTAGCCTAGCTTAGCACAAAGACTGGATGTAAATGGTTGCAGCTAGCATACTAATCCAAATAAGTGACAAAATAACGCAAACATTTTCCTATTTACATGTTGTGATTTGTATAGTCACAGAGTGTACAAAAAACAAAGTCACATGAGACAGACATATTTTAACCGTATAAATACTGGGAACTATATTCTCTGAAGGCGAAGCACTGCTACTTGGGCGGAGTGTTAACCGCAGCACCTGAGACGTACCGTACCCAAACTCTGAACGAACTCTCTGCTCCTCACCACGGCGCGTCTCAGGTGCTGCGGTTATCACTCCGCCCAAGTAGCAGTGCTTCGCCTTCAGAGAATATAGTTCCCAGTATTTATACTGTTAAAATATGTCTGTGTCTCATGTGACGTAGTTTTTTGTACACTCTGTGACTATACAAATCCCAACATGTAAATAGGAAAATGTTTGCGCTATTTTGTCACTTATTTGGATTAGTATGCTAGCTGCAACCATTTACATCCAGTCTTTGTGCTAAGCTAGGCTAGCGGTGGGTGCGTCAAACAGACTTATAGCACGCACGGAGATGAAAAAGGTATGTATGGACTTATCTAACTCTGGGGGATAAGGTGAATAGGCTAAAGTCCCAAAAAGTCGGAGTGTTCCTTTAATATATATATAAAAAAAACATCTAAACAACCTCTCTTTCTTTTCCAGGTTGGATAATTGTAATATTACAGAAAAAGGCTGTATAACGCTGTCTATACTTCTTTCATCACAATCCAATGTGAGAGAGCTGAATGTGAGCCACAACAAACTGCAGGACTCAGGAGTAGAAATACTCAGTGTCGGAGTAAAGGAATCATGCTATGCCAGACAGATGTATGGTTCTATGGAGTAAATTTAAATATTACAACATTATAATACACAATTTACATATTATGTAGACATTTAATATGTTTCTATGTCACTTCAGAATTGATGAATTGTTCTGCAATGTGCCAAACAAAAAGGACAAATCTGAAGATTTTATAAGTCTCACTGCTGGACTACAGGACACAGAGTGTAGACTGGAATCTTTGAAGTAGGTTAACTCTTAATGGAAAACTTTAAATGAGTCATCATGCAAATTGTGCATGGATTTCTGCCAATAGATCGAGACAACATGTATTCTCTTCTCTCTGTAGCCTGAAGAACTGTGGAGTAACAGAAGCGGGCTGTGTTTTCCTGAGCTCAGCTCTGAGTTTAAACCCTTCTCATCTGAAAGTGCTGGACCTGAGCTGGAATAACATAGGAGACTCAGGAGTTAAACAGCTCTGTGCTGCTCTGGAGAAAGTTCAGTGTGCATTAGAAACACTGAAGTGAGTTATAGTGATCACATATACTGAATTGAGGGTTAATAATGACTAATGCCTTTAACCGCTTTATTAACAGGCTTAATAACTGTAATATAACACACAAAAGTTGTGCAGCATTGAGGCAAGATGATTCTGAATAATTGTAGATTCAGTACACAGCAAATTCCCCATTAAACAATATTGCTCCATGTGCAATTTGTTTTGTTAAAAAAGTTACAGCTTATCAAGGCCAAAATAACATAAATTCTTGTATTCTCCCCTTGCAATATTCAGATTCAGATCAGTGCTTAACAAATATTGCTTTTAATTGCTGATTCTTTAACTATTACCCTCAATCCTAAGTTAATGTTTAGCAGTTATGCGTAATTACTAAAACTAAGCCTAACCATACAGCACTGAGTTGATTTTTAATAAAAAAGCCATATTTCCACCAATAACACCACAAAGACATGTCAAATATAACAACAAACTAATTGAATAATGAAATATTGATAAAGACTGTGAGAGAAACATATCTCTGTTTGAACCTCATTCCATTGAGATCAGAAAGATTCAATTGTTTTTTTAAAGGCATCATTTTTCAAATCCACTCTGCTTTCTTCAGGTTGTCCAACTGTAATGTTACACATGAAGGTGTGACGGCACTGACCGAAGCTCTGAAATCAAATCCATCCCACCTGAAAGAGATCGATCTGCTTGAGAATGATCTGGAAGAGTCAGACTTGAATGCGATCTCCATGATACTGGAAAAGTCATCATAAAAACACCAATCCTTAAGATGACTCTACAAATAAACACTTAAGCTTTGAACAATGAGTAGTAATCTCACAATTGTAAAAATGTATTAAAATTTTCTGTACATGGAAAAAAATGTATTAAGAAGTTTTTGCAAATCAAATCCTGATATAATCAAACTTAAGGTAAAAACAAATCACATTTTGAATGGACTGAAAGTTTGGATAGTGTAATGTATAAGCATTTCAGTTATTCTGTGTTGACGTAAAAGGCGACGTCTGCCCACACAGTGTACATGTGTGAGTCTGTATGCGACCAGGGAGTACGAGGCCTATCCTGTAAATAAGGTTGATAAAGTGTTCTTATCTCCACATCTACTGGCATCCTTATAGACGGCTCTACAAACATGCATGTCCGACCAATTACAACAGGGAGTGACATTACAGATAATATGGTTTTATATTCTGTATTTAAAGTACATTATATATACATTTCCGGTAACAATTTACAATAAGGTTTCAATTGTTCAATACATTAGTTAACATGAACTAACAATGAAAAGTCCTTCTAAAGCATTTATTCATCTTAGTAAATTTTAATTTGCAAAATTTACTAATACATAATTAAAATCAAAAGTTGTGTCTGTTATTATTGTTTAATAGACCTGAGCAAACATCAACTAAGAATGAACAGATGTATTTGTATTAATATTACAAAGATTTATACTATAACAAATGTAATCTTTTCTGTAATTTAATGCATTAAACGTTAATTAATAGGACCTTTTTGTAAAGGGTTACCACTTTTATAAAGGTTTATACTGTATGCAATAAATATAATACATGTACAGTATACATACATTAATCTTCATCCCCATAAATCATAAGCAGTGTCAGAAGAAGCCGTTCGCAGATTCTGGGCAAAGTGACATCACTTTGTACAGGCCCCGCCCACGCCTGTTGACAGACTCTGCTGTATTAACAGAGACTCGCCCTCAGCGAATTGTACACTGTTTTGTTGTTGGATGCAAGAGTGAACATCCGTCTTCATTTACTCCCGACATCAGAGTTGCTGAAGACGCAGTGGATTAGTTTTATTTTTGAAGGGAACATGCCCCCATGTACCTAAATTAATTTATGTCTGCGTGAATCATTTTACACCAGGCTTTGTGAACAAGAGTCAATACAAGCGACAATACAAAACACAGGTTTTGTTAAAACGTTGTTACTCAAGGATGGATTACCAACTGTTCATGATCCAGCTTATAGTCTCCGGAGCGATACTGGTAACGGCAGTATTGAAAGGGAGAACACGTACTTCATTACAGTTCATCTGAGTTGTTTTACAGATATAAAGTTTACCAGTTTACCCCAGAAAAGGCATAAAAAGTCTGTATATATTTGTTCACTCTTAGTTGTAACAAGTGGTTTTGTGTAATTCACTGTGTATGTTGATGATAATGCAAGAGAGAGAGAAAGTTTATGGACTTCTAATGCACACATCTTGTACTGTGTTTTATTCAGCTCTTACTGTGATATTCTAGAATGGAAATGGACGCTTAATACACTTATATTGTATAATAAACTTCATAAAACTGAATCAGTAAAGTTTTGGCCATCCTTCGGACAGGGTCCGCTACAACAGGCTTGTACTAAAAATGGATAAAAGCAAGATGTCAACAACATAAGTTATAACCGTAATTAAACTAAACTATACCTGTTCTAACTCCATGTAGCATATATTCTCTCGGTCTGTAGGCATTATTGTCCGACTCCGTGTCGAACATATAAGGCTGAACAACGCTACTGACAGTTTCTGACATTTTCAGTGCGTGAGATTATCCTGTTTTGTCCTTTTATGAGCTCTTGAAGCGCCCCCTTTTTTTAAAAGGGGCCCAGCAACTCCAGTTCATTTGCATTTAAAGGGACACACACAAAACAGTGGGGAATTTTTATATGCTATAAAAAATTATATGTGGGGTATTTTGAGCTAAAACTTCACATACACACTCTGGGGACACTAAATCTACAAGCAGGTACACTGAACCAACTACACGCTCTAATCAGGTTTCATCTGACATAACAGTGAGTAGATGATGACAGTATTCACTTTGGGTTGAACTATCCTTTTTGGTAGAGGTATGTGCAAAATAAATATAGAAAGAAAAAGGCAAAAGATAAAAGGGGGTAAAAATCTAATAATGCTGGTTCTATTCGTGATCATCTAATCTACTACACTGTAACTGGTTTCTGTAATTTGAACAGTATTTTACTGTAATATGTACTGTAAGATACTGTAAAATGTTTATACAGTATGTTACTGTAAACAGCAAACGATTATGGGAAAATATATGGTCACTACTGTAATTCTTCTCTACTGTAAATCAATTTACAGTAGTGAACTTGCCCACAAAAAACTGACCAATGGCAAGAGAGATTTCCTTTGAATTTTTTTGACTGTATGGTTGAAGTGGCTGTTAATGTGGACAAAAGATGTACCGGTAACTCCAAAAAGGTTAGTAGGCTATACTATTTCTATGTTATGTAAAATAAGCATTTGCAAATGTTTTCATTTATGTTAACAGCAAACTAACATGATTTGTCTTTTTGTTTTCGTCGGAATGATTTTGGTGCCTTTTTTTCCTGACTGTCGGCCGGATCTCCGTCACGGTGATAATAATAACTGGTAAGTAAGCGAAGTTCACCTATATTATCCGAAATATTCTTTAGTTAAAACGATAACAATAACGTTTGTGTATTCCTCTGCCTCTTTAACGTAAGCTCGCCAGGCGGAGTCGTCGGTTAGGCTACTTAACGTTAACCGCAACGAACTAACGTGTCGTGAAATGCTGAGGTAAAGTGAGATAGACAAAATAACCCTTGTTTAAGTGAGGTTTTTAAACAATATTTTCAAGTATATGCTTTGATTTATTTTCAGGTTTGTGATCTGTATAATGTCTGCAGTCTGCAACGATGGAGGTGTGTGTTGGAGCCTTCATTGCCGTCATAACGGTGATAACATCAACTGGTAGGTTAACTTCACCTAAATAAGCCGAAGTAAACTTATTAAACAGAAAAAAAGAATAACTGTTGTATGTTCCGTCCCCTATTTAGCACACCTTAGCCAGAGCCATAGAGAGAAAGAGTTGCGACACACTTTGATGTCGCCGCGACGGCTGTCACGTGGTTCATGTAAGCCCCAATAGTTCCAAAACATACGCGGGCTGTCATGTTCTTCTATGGACAGACAGCAGCGATTGCATTATTAAACGGTAAATATAAAATAAAACACACACCCAAGTACTTTTTAAGCTGTTATTGCATTTTGTTAATGTCAGTTTTGCATTTGGAGAGGCAGGGTGACAACTTAGATAAGTTTTAGGCTATATCTTTGGAGGGAAAAGCTTAGTGTTCATGTTCGCATGGGTAGTAACGTTAATAGCACTGGCTTTAGCGGCTCTAACTTAACTTTTTCATGTCATTCATCTGATGATGGACGTCTCATGATATTTATTTTAGCACAACTGGGCTGTATTAGGCTATTGATTCCCGTGATCTTGCTTATAAATTCCGATTCAGCCATTAGCTTAACTTCGTGATCACGCAAAGAGGTCTGCAGTCCGTTCAGAATTCCAACCAACATAAAATATAAATAATTACGCTGTGCATGTCCAAATGAATGATTTAGGAGGGAAATAGACTGCTCCCATAACGTAGAAAGCAACGACTATATACACAGCAATGTTCGGTAAATATTCAACCGAAAAATATTCTTCATAAAATTAAACCGGAGAGATAGTTAATGAGTGAATTAACTATGTTCCTAAATACATATAAGCACATGCATAACCCTAACCCATTTAAATAAATGAATTGTGTGTGTGTGTATGTATATAATATTATATATAGGCTATATATATACACTCACCGGCCACTTTATTAGGTACACCTGTCCAACTGCTCGTTAACACTTAATTTCTAAGCAGCCAATCACATGGCGGCAACTCAGTGCATTTAGGCATGTAGACATGGTCAAGACAATCTCCTGCAGTTTAAACCGAGCATCAGTATGGGGAAGAAAGTTGATTTGAGTGACTTTGAACGTGGCATGATTGTTGGTGCCAGAAGGGCTGGTCTGAGTATTTCAGAAACTGCTAATCTACTGGGATTTTCACGCACAACCATCTCTAGGGTTTACAGAGAATGGTCCGAAAAAGAAAAAACATCCAGTGAGCGGCAGTTCTGTGGGCGGAAATGCCTTGTTGATGC